ATTTAACCGTTTGAACGCCAAAGTAGACTTTTGTCACATAACAAGATAAACTTTCACTGAAAATATTAGTAGCGAATTAGGTGAATTTACAAAGAAATAATAGAAATAAACATAAAAGTGAAAGATATGAATGCATCAGTATTCTATGGGAATATGTTATGACATTGAACGACTAAGTGTTACCGAGATTTACATTTATTTTCAGCCGTGACATGCTATGATGATAGCGTGTACAATCATACAATTTCGCCCTGTACTAATACCTGTGTCGATCAGTCACCACACTACCAATGTCCCGATAGGCGTTTAGTGGACGGATGTGTCTGTCAAGAAGGTTACTTGTTAAACATGGGCGAATGTGTTCCAGACAACCAGTGTCCATGTGAATATGACGAACGGTATCTTCAGGTAGGATTTTTTTTAACAGTGGGTGACTGACTGCTAATGTGTGATAGTCTAAGAATCTATGTTGTTACCCACGCTTTATTTTCTGATGTGTAGTTTGGAGATACTGTAACCTTGGAAGAATGTGACGAAGATTGTACTTGTCGGGAGGATGGTGTAGTTGATTGTGTGGCCATTAGATGTGATCCTAATGCATATTGTGGAGAGAAAGACGGGGAGCATGGATGTCATTGTAACGATGGCTATCAAGGAAATGGCAAACGTTGTATAGGTAAACTCATTTTTGTTAGAGAATTTTGCGAATGCTATTCAGGCAATTAGATTAAAGCTAATAACCCGTATTTATCGAACATTATACAACATTATGCAGCTACAATAACATAAACAGTATGCTGCGAACCCCATGCTATAGAGAGAACTACAGAGCCAGCAAAATAAGACAGATAAGAGAATCCTTCCCCTTTGTACATACACAGGTCAGCACTGTGGCAGCGAGCCCTGTCAGAATGGTGGAACATGTCAGGAACACGCCCATAATTATACCTGTGCGTGCGAGAATGGTTTCACTGGACTTATGTGCGAAACAGGTACGTACTGAACACCGGGCAGATAGCTAGAATAATTATTCTCCCATGTCTTAACTGAATAATTATGTGGATAAAACACACTGGGTATAGGAATATATCGCTTCTGCTTTATGTAACTCTCCGCTAGTAATGGATGCATTAATAAACAATTTAATTTGTTTTCAAAAAACTGCCAGTAAATGTGCTTTTATATTTACAATTCATATTTAACAAATCAAACAGGTTGGGAAGTGTAAAGATGGAACAAACGCGTGCGATTGCCCGACATAATATTTTTCTGTG